CCGACGATTGCGGCGGCTCAGTGCCTGGGCCCAGCGGCGCGCTGTCCAGGCGGGGAACAGACGCAGCCGGCACGGTGGTGTCACGGCGCACCGCGTCCCCGCACTCGTCTGCCCCCCCTCCGCACCAACCGTGCGACCGTTAGACGACCCTGGCAGCACTCCCAGCACTTGCTTCGCCCGCGGCCCTGAGGCCCCCCTCTCATGCCAGGCATCAGTCACTTAGTTGGAGCGCGCTGCCGTCGACTCAGGTCGCCCACAGTGCCTGGCCGGCCCCCCGTGCGCAAGTGAGCCTGGCCTTGGCGCTGCCCCCCGCGGCGCGTTGCGCGGGCGGTGGACAGATGCAGTCGACGCGGCGCTGTGCACAGCGCGCAGCATGCTTGTCATTGACCGCGTGCTATACCAGCTCTCACCTCGCCTGGCGGCAGTGGCCTTCAGCCCCCGCTGGCAGCCCTGGGTCGCGCGGCGAGAACCTCGGCGGCGCCCGGCAATGCCCCTCGCCCTTGAGATGCCCCCCGGGCACCGTCAATGCTGGGCTCGCGGGGCCCGCTGGGGCGGGTTCAGCGCGCCCATCGGCCATGGCCTGGGTTTTACTCCGGCCGACGCCTGGACTTGGTCATGGCCTGACCCGGTTTCTCAGCTTCGGCCCCCCTGGGCCGCCGCGGCCCCTGCTCGGCCACTGGCTCGGCCCCCCGCCCATGGGGCGCCGGCCCCCAGTTGCCATCAATGCCGGGCGCGCTGTCTCCGCTGGGGCGGGGCGCGACGTGCCTTGCGGCCTTGGCCGTCTCAGTGTCGTTCTCCATCTGGTTTCTGCCCGGGTCCCGCCACGGCCTGGCGCGGTTTCCCCGGCTCTGGCCCTAACGTCAGCGACTCGCGCGTCTTGACCAGCCCCGGCACACGTGCGCGCACACTTCGGGCCCTGGTCCCCAGACACCGGTCGGCTTGGCCGCGTTTGGCTTTAACTCCGCCGCTGGTGCTGGGATTCGCCCTCCTCAGCCGCAGTGCTGGCGCCTGGTGCCTGGCCGCGTGCTCTCTCCGTCTCGTGGTTCCGAGTGCGCCCTGGCGTCAGGTCTCGCGAGTTCTGGCCGGTTCCAGCAGTGCTTGCACACCCTTGGCTCTGGTCTTCAGCTGGCCCCTGGGGTTCTGGTCGCCGTGTCTCGCAGGAGTGGTTTGGCCTTCTCGGCCAGCCCAGCGCGTCCCCTGGCGGTCTGCCTCTCTGTCCTCTTGCGCCCGGTGGCGATCATTCCCGTGTCTGGCGATCTCGCTCCTATTGTACTCGCGCGTTGCAACTCCCCGCCGCCTCCGCAGCTGGCAGCGCCCACCCCTCGGCGCAGCTCTGCCCTGGCGCAGCTTCCCTCGGCGGTAGGTTTAGTCTGCCTGCGCGGCGCGCGCTGGCAATTAGGGTGCTCGCGGCCCGTGCTGCTCCACTGACGCTGTCGGCTCGTCGGCCTGCAGCTGCGACCAAAAAGTACCCCGCCAGCTCGCAATTCGCTCGCAGCCTGCTTTCTGCGACTCTTTGACTGCGGCTGGCGTCTCCCGGTGCGCTCGCGATCAAAAAAGTATCCCCACCAGCCCATCCAGAATGATGTCCAGGCGAGCCGAGGTGATCAGGGAAGTGCGGGGGCACAGAGGTGGACGGCCGAACCGTGCGAAGAAGGGAGAAGGAGAAGACGGATACTGGATGGATGGATGAGGGAGTGGGGAGAATAACGGTTAATATGATGATGGTGTTGATGATGATGCTGCTGCTGCTGATAATGATGACAACGTTGGTGATGATACTGATGATGATGAGGAGCAGGAGGAGCATGAGGATGATGATGAGGAGGAGGGGGAAGAGGAGGATGAATAGAAAGAGTAGGAGGAAGGAGCATCAGGAGGAGGAGGAGGAAAAGGGCGAGCAAAACGGCCACAGGCTTTTGGATGCCTCGCTGAACCTCTTGGGATATCACTTTGGCGTTTCGTGGTGGCCTCTTGGGACGTCTTGGGTGTCTCTTGGCGGTCTTGGGGGGCTCTTGGGCGTCTTGGGTGCCTGGGGGGGGGGGCCATTTGGAGCGTCTGGGGGGCATCTTAGGTGCCTCGGGGATCAGGTTGAAGTCTTTTGGGGGCCTCTTGGGGGTATCTTGGGAGCCTCTTGGGGGCCTCTTGGGGCCGCCCGGGCGCCTCTTGGGGCCCTCCTGGGGCGCTCTTGGGAACTTTAGGGGCACTCTTGGGGCCATCTTGGAGGAGATCGATCAAAGAAGAGGGGAGTTTTTTGTTAGCCCCCCCAAAAAAAGTTCAAATGGGGCCCAAACCCTAGTGGAACCCATGATTTTGGCATCCTCACCGAGGCCGTTGTGGACGCTCCAACGCGTCGCGCCCCCCCCGTCCAGGTCCAGGGGAGGGGGGAAGGGGGGGGGTCAAGATTCCCTCCCCGCCCGCAAGCCGTCTCGCTCACTCCCACCCGCCCTCCCAACACATACGCAGCACCCGAGCCTGGCCCGAGCCGCAGCATATTCAGCTGTCGTTTTTGGATGGGCAGCTACTGGGGGCGAGTCCGCCGCCGCCGCCGCTGCCTCCGCCGCCGCCGCCCGCCGCCGCCGCGCCGCCGCCGCCGCGCCGCCGCCGCCGCCGCCGCCGCCGCCACGCCGCCGCCGCCGCCGCCGCCGCCGCCTCCGCCGCCGCCGCCCCCGCTGCCGAATCGCCGCCGCCGCAGCCGCTGCCGCCGCAGCCGCTGCCGCCACCGCTGCCGCCGCCGCCCCCGCCGCCGCCGCCGCCGCCGCCACCGCCGCCGCCACCGCCGCAGCCGCCGCATCCGCTGCCCCCGCCGCAGCCGCCGCAACCGCCGCCGCCGCCAAGTGTACTTTCTATTCGTTTTTGACAGGGATGGTGGGGGGAGACCGCATCGGGTTCGCTGCGCATGCTCCGGATTTGGAGGCAGAGTGTGTTTTGCATGTTGTTTTGCAAGGGATGGTGTGGGGGGGGGCGCATTGTTCCTGGTTGGCTCCCAGTCGCCTGGGGGAGGGGGTGTAGATTAATAGGGAACAGTGATCAAGCTACCCACCCGCCCGGAAACCGTCGAGTTCATTCCCACCCGCCGTACCTACACAAAATTAACGCCCGAGCCTGAGCATGTTCAGCGGTCGTTTTTGGATGGGCAGCTACTGGGAACCAAAGCCGACCCCAGGAACGCGACGTTTGGGCGAGGTGTGCCACGCGTGACAGGGGCGCCACGCGCGCCAGGCACCCCTGGGGCCCGAGCGTGCCAGGCACGCATGGTGCGCCAGATGCGCCACGTGCTCCGAGTGCGCCAGGTGTGCCGCACACTCCAGAAGCGCCAGGTGCGCCGCGTTCGGGGCACGTGCAGAGTGCGTCAGGTGCGCCTGCGCACGTGACAGCACACATCGGGAAACATGTCGGCCCCCGCCATCCTTGTCGAAAACTGATGCCCATCATTGTGTCTGGTAGGCCTGCGCAGAGCAGGCCACGCACCACCACCCCCGCCGTCCTTGTCAAAAACCGCTTGGTCGCGCACGATTCAGATTTAGCCGCGAGGTGCATGTTGTATTGTTTTTGTCAGGGATGGTAGCCCTGCGCCCAGCAGGGAATATGCTGACACCCCCGCCGCCCTTGTCAAACACAATACAAAATGCTCGCGGGCCTCACGAACATGACTCGAGACTTTGCCCCAAAGTGTACTTCGCATTGTTTTTTGAAAGGGATGTTGTGGGGGGGGGGGGCGCATCGGGTTGGCCGCGCTTGTTCCACATGTGGAGGCAGAGTGCGGTTTGTATTGTTTTTGACAAGGATGGTGGGGGGCGGGTCGGCATGGTGTCGGCATGGTTTCGGGTTGGCACCCGGTCGTCTGGGGGAGGGGGTGTATATTAATAAGGAACAGTGACAAACCCCTCCCCGAAGGGGAAGAAATGAGGTTGGAAGAGAAACCTCCCTAGACCACCTACGGCCAGAGGGCTGGTGGGACTTGAAGACGGCTAGAGTAAAAGCGCTCAACAGGCGGTGGTGGTGGTGGTGGTGATGGTGGTGGTTGTGGTGGCTGTGGTGGTGGTGCTGGTGGTGGTGCGTTCTCTTTCCACCAGAAGAGGAGGGGGATGATGATGCTGATGATGATGATGATGATGATGATGATGATGAGGAGGAGGAGGAGGAGGAGGAGAAGGAGGATGAGTGATCTAAGGGATAGGGGCTACCAGGGAAGAGGGATGGAGGGAGTGGAGTAGGAAGAACGACGGAGGGAATGGAGTAGGAGGAGAAGGAATGTAGGGAGAGGAGAAGGAGGATGACACGGAGGACGAGAAAATGGAGGAGGAACTGGACGAGGAGGGGCAGGAGGAGAAGGAGGAGGATAAGGAAGAGGAGAAATAGCCCCCACTCCCATCCTTTCGAGAGGAATCTAGCCGTGTCGACGAGGGCGCCCCGAAATGTTCACTGAACCGCTCCCATACCTCGATTCTCGATTCTCTACACTCGAACTCCAAATTCCCAGGAGGAGGCGGAGGAGGGGGAAGAGGAGGGGGAGGATGAGGAGGAGGAGGAGGAGGAGGAGGAAGAGGAGGAGGAGGAGGAGGAGGAGGGGAGGAGGAGGAGGAGGGGGTGGAGGAGGAGGAGGAGGGGAGGAGGAGGAGGAGGAGGAGGAGGAGGAGGAGGAGGGAGAGGGGGAGAGGGGGAGAGGGGAAGAGGGCAGAGGAGGAGGAGGAGCAGGAGCAGGAGGAGGAGGAGGAGGAGGAGGCGGATGAGCAGGAGGGGGATTGGGAGGAGGGGGAGGAGGAGGGGGAGGGGGAGAAGGAGCAGGAGGAGGAGGAGGATCAGGAAGAAGAGGAGGAGGAGGAGGAGGAGGAGCAGGAGGTGGAGAAGGAGGAAGAGAAGGCGGAGTCGGAGGAAGAGGAGGCAGTGAGGAGGAGGAGGAGGAGCAGCAGCAGCAGCAGCAGCAGGTGGAGGAAGAGTGAGGGCCAGCGCCCTCAAGCCCTGCAGCGAGCCCTGCAGCGAGCCCTGCAGCGAGCGTGCAGGAGCGCCGGGCTGGCGGAGGAGGACTTGAGGGCGGCGGAGGAGGAGAAGGGGCAGCTGGAGCAGATCCTGGCGAGGCCCTGGGCCCCTCGAACCGACGACGACGACGACGACGCCGCCGCCACCGCCGCCGCCGACGACGCCGACGCCGACGCCGACGCCGACGCCGACGCCGACGCCGACGATCCTGGCGAGGCCCTCTGTCCCTCCCTCGCCGTCGCCGTTTGGGCGTCGCTTGATGAGTGGCGATATGCAGGGCGGAAGAAAGGTACACTTGTCGGACCCTGAAGGTCCCTATCTGGGGCCCTGAAGGGCCCCTTTGGGGGCCCTCAAGGGCCCCCTTCCTGCAGCCCTCGCTGCCCCCCCCCTTCCTTTTTCGCCCCCCCATCACGCGACACCCAAGCCGTCGCCGTCGCCGTCGCCGCCGCCGTCGTCGCCACCGCCGCCGTCGTCGTCGTCGTCGTCGGCGTCGGCGTCGGCGTCGGCGTCGGCGTAGGCGTCAGCGTCGGCGTCGTCGTCGTCGTCGTCGTCGTCGTCGTCGTCGTCGTCGTCGTTATCGTCGTCTTCGTCGGTTCGAGGTGTTGGGTTTCTTTTATTCCTGGGCCTCCTGGAAGCTCTTCGTCGCCACTGCAGCGCAGCCTTCGAAGTCCTGTTCAGAACGCGCCCCTCGCCTTCTCCCAGCTGATCTCGTCCTCCTGCTCCTCCTCTGGGATGAGCTCCACCTCCTCCTTCTCCATGAGGAGGGCGAGGATCGAGGTTCGAAATGGAATATTGGACGAGTGAAACCAAGAGGTGCGACGATCTAATTTGTTTTCTCCAATGCTCGGGCTGTTACAGCTGCAGGCCGCGCGTCAAGAGATTGAAAGGAAGCAGCTGCGGTTTGGTTCCGCACATTGGTACAGTAGTACCTCCGTGCTGCTACGCATGTGCTGGAGCAGATCCTGGATGAGCAGAATCTGGATCCTCAACCTAGCCCTCAAGGAGAGGGAGAATGAGGAGGATGAAGATCGAGAGTCCAGGAATGCGGAGGATCTGGTTTTCGAAGTTTATCCGAGCCATCCAGATGCTTGCATAGGCCTCCGCAAGCAGAGCGTTCGAGGTGCCGTTGGCTAGTTCGCCCTGAGCGCCCTCGCCCATGGCCGCGTCCCATCTGATAGTCAGGACTGCACGCTGCCACGATCTGTTTTGCAAGCAACCAGTGAGACGCTTGGCTTTGTCCTTGGCTCCCCGAGTGGAAGGGTCGGACCCCTGGCCGTTCGAAAATCGCGCCATATCGTTTGTGCCAAACTCAGCCTCCGAAGGTCGCTTCCGGGCTGGTGAAGGCTGAGTTCCCCGGCGCCCAGGCGTCTCAGCGTGACCGTCGGTGGGTATTCGCTCTCCCGCGTGCAGGCGGCCGCCCACGCGTGGTCCGCCACTTCTTCCCCTTTTTCTTCTTCTTGGTCTTATTCGTCTTTTTCTTTTTTTTTATTCTTCGTTTTCTTCCTGGCAGGTGAGCTGTTGGGGGAGGTTGCGCCGCTGACGGAGCAGGCGGACTAGGGCCTCCCTCGAGGACGCACAGGCATGGACCAAGGCGCGTGGACTGGCGACGGGTGCCGCTTCCGTCGCCAGGTCAGGCGGCATTGGCCTCACGCTTCGGCCGGTGCCTTCCCGACCCGTGGAAGGCACCGCCCGAAGCGTCACCCGCGCGCCAGATCCATGGATCGCTCAACCGTGTCAGCGTGCGCCCGACGCCTGCAGGGGACTGGCAGTGCCACTGTTAGCTCCTCGAGCTCCTCGGGGAGGGCGAGCGCAGGAGAGCACAAGCAGCAGGAGGGGGAGAATCAGGAGGGGAAAAAACACACAGACACAATTAATCGTCGATTCCCCAGAAAATAGGGGAAACTATGGGAAGTGGGGGGAAGACAGAAACCCAGAAAATATAGGAAAATATGGGAACCCTGCTTTGTGTGTATGTATTTCTGTGTCCTGGGGCCCCTTCAGAGAAGGAAGAAGAGCTAGGTCGGGCATGTCCCCCTACAGGCGGATTTTGGGCGAGCAGGAAAATACCCCTAAACATGATCCAACAACGCTTCAACAAATTATCCAAAGATCGTCCCTGGACTATGTTCTGACTACTGTAGAGGGACACGCACGGCTTGAAAATTCGGGGACCTCGCCGTGGCAAGGCTAGCGCGTGGGGGCGCTGCCCTCCCGGCCCGCTGTTTTCCGCGCGCCTCGTTGCAAGAACGGGGGCCGGGTGGTCGCCGCGCGCCCCCTGGCTGGCGACGGCAAGCATAGCGTCCAAGAGGAGGAGGAGGAGAAGGAGGACGGAGGAGAAGGAGGACGGAGGAGGAGGAGGACGGAGGAAGGAGGAGGAGGAGGAGGAGGACGGAGAAGCAGGACGGAGGAGGAGGAGGAGGAGGAGGAGGAGGAGGAGGAAAAGGCGGAGGAAGGAGGCGGAGGAGGAGAAGGAGGACGGAGAAGGAGGACGGAGGAGGAGGAGGAGGAGGACGACGACTACGAGGGAGCTTCCGCCCCCCTTCCTGCCGCCCTCCCGCCGCCCTCTTTTTCTCTCCGCCCTTCCTTGCCAGCCCTCCTCCGACGCCCCGTTCCCCGCTCCCCCCCCCCGCCTCCCGTCACCGCCTCCTTCCCTCTTCGCCGGCGCCGCCCCCTTCCCCGCTGACGCCTGCTCCCCTCCGCCGCCGCCCCATCTCCCTCTCGCCTCCTCCCGCAGCCGCCGCCCCCCTGTCTCCTCTCTACTCTCCGCCGCCGCCGCCGTCCCCTTTTTCCCGCCCCACCGCTGACGACAACAACGACGACGCCGACGCCGACGACGACAACGCCGACGACGATGCCGACGCCGACGACGCCGCGGCCGCCGACGACGACGACGGCGACGCGGTCGCCGACGACGACGACGCCGACGACGACGCCGACGACGACGACGACGACGCGGCTGCCGACGACGACGACCACGATGCCCACGCCGACGCCGACGCCAACGCCGACGATGCCGCCGCCGACGCCGCCACCGCCCGGCGAGGCTGCGCGAGGGCACCGCCGCGCGAGACACCCGCGCCCTGGCGGCGGCCATTGGCAACGCCCAGCAGAAGGGCCTCGTGGCCAGCGAGCTGCGGGATCTTCGCCGACGTCGTCGTCGTCGTTGTCGTCGACAGTAACGGCGTCAACGGCGTGGGCGTCGTCGTCGTCGTTGTCGTTGTCGTCGTCGTCGCCGGCAGTGGCGGCGTCATCGGCGTAGGCGTCGTCGTCGTCGGCGGCATCGGCGTTGGCGTCATCATCGGCATCGTCGCCGTCGACGCCTTGTGGGGCCAACTCCTGCCTCGGGGGCGTGGCCCACCGTGCGTTGGCGTCGTCGTCTGCGTCGTCGTCGGGGGGGGCAGGGGGAGCGAACAGCCATGCGCGACCACGTCCAAGGTGCTGAGACAAAGTGCCGGGCTGGTTGGCTGTAAACGCGCGATGCGTGTATGTATATTATATATATATATCTATATATACACATGCATCATACATGTATATCTATTTATATATATATATATATTATAGAGAGGCCGAAATTACCGCTGCCGTCCTCATGGTTGCGCGGCGGCCCGCGTCGGCACGGGCGGGCCCGCGCCAGCAGCCATGTCTGCTGCCGCTTGCGGCCAACCTGGGCCACCTGAGCTGCCTGGGCCTCGGCCAACGGAAACAGCAGAGCAGAGCAGGCGCATGAGAAGAGCGACTGCAGCGGTGACCGCACAGGATGAAGCCGAACATGCAGGCGTGGTTACGGACTTGCGAGAGCGCGTGGCTTTCTTAGAGGTTCTTCATGTACGTGGGCACGGAATAGTTCGGACATCTGATCTACAAGGCGTCCATGTTCAATTCAGCAAGTGAATATGCGATTCCGCGAGAGGGCATCGCGGGCAAGGGCCTTAATTTTACCCCGGATTCCGGCAGCATTATCGAGGAGCCTAACGCAGAGCACAACGCTAAGCCAGATGAGGCAGCATGCCCAAGGACACCTCCACGACTGTCCCGAGGAGGGCTACACATGTACACTCCTGAGAGGCAGAAGAGGGAGAACAAGAGCAACGCGAGCAAGACGAATGCTGCATACGAGGAGGACAAGGCCGAGTCAGAGGAGAGCGGGTCCAGGCACGAGAATGCGCACAACATCGTGGAGTCTGACGACAGCGGAGACACACACACACCGACTTCAGCACCCTCCCCGAAACAGCAGAAGCAGAAGATGGAGACGGAACCGGCGAGGAGAAGTCGACCGAGGCTGCCCTCGAATGGTTCTGGCAGAATGAGAGGAGAGCGGCGGCCTGCATCGTCGAAATCACGAACGACCCGAGAGAACACCACGAGGATCTGAGCGGGGCTTTGCCCCCCCCCCCCCCCCCCCTCCTTGGCATCGCTCGGACGTGTGCATTTTTCCTTCGGCGAGGGCCATCGAGGAGCATCCTTGATCATCTGGCGAAAAGCCACGCGCGAAACCGAAAAACGCACATGGAATGGACGTCCGAGCGATGGCGAGCCTCCGACGTCATCTCCATGGCGCGCGCCTGCTGGGTGCTCCGCGCGCGGACGCGGCGATCGGCGTCCGTCCGTCCGTCCGGTCTCATGGTTGCGCGCAAGCTCGCAGTACAGTCGGGGCCCTGAAGAAGGAACCCTTTTGGTTGGGGAGGGGCTCTGCGTTCCTTCAGTGTTTCGCAGCTTGCCTCAGGTTTTCCTCATGTTTTCGACAGGTCAACGCCCCGACTGTACGGGGGAGAGCGCGTTCGGGTAAACATTGGACGACGCGGGAAGAATGGCCACGCCACAGGAGGGCAGAGGCGAGAAGGAGCTAGAAGGGCAGCACAAGGGCAGAGGCAAATGGGGAGCGGTGAGCGGACCGAGCGTGCCGCTCGAGTGCGGCGATGACTGGTCTTGTCGCTCAGTACTGGACGCTGCTGGCATGCCGAACCTGTGAACAGGATGTGGACTTACATGTCGTACTCAAGGTGCGTCGAGCACTTGTGGCCGTCTCGTCGCCATGAGAATCGCCGCCGACATGCGCAGAGCAAGCATCGTGAGCAGAATATGAAACCATGCGCATGCGGGCTACACTCCCCCATTGCGTGGCGCCTCTGGGGTGCGGAGCGGCATGTGCTTCTCACACCCTCGGAGTAGTCCCGAGCGCGTTGTTGCATTACTACGAGACCGCCGTTTTGCAGGCTAACTCTGCGGACTTGGCCTCGCGACGATGCCACTGATTGGTTATTCCTGGGTTGTGTAGTGCTGGTGCTGTGAGGTAGACGCCGCTAGTGCAGCAGTTGGTGTAGTTGCGTTGTGGTTGTAGGCGAGGGGCCCGGGCTGCGTTTGGCACTGCCATCTGGGTACTGCGCTGAGACTGCACCGGCCGTGCCGTCGGCTTGCCGTTATATGGGGTGTCGGTTGCGGAGTCAGCGGCAAATGCCTCGCAGAGCTCTGCAGTAAGATGAGCTAGCGGAGTTCTGGCGCAAGGTGGAGCTAGTTGGTCGACCAGACCAGAAGAGACAGCGTGAAGACATGGGGTCGCTTGTTGGATCAGTTGACGAGAGACTTGACAAGTCGTCTGAAGAGTTGTTATTTCCCCTGTGCTGTGAATTAAGAGGCGCTCTTCTGTCTCAGTTTCAGGTCCGCAGCTGCAATCTTATCGGAAACTGGAGCATGTACATTGCCAGTGGCGGGCTGTTTTCGATCCCAGCACTTTTTGGGGGGTCGGAGACGACGTGGGGGTGATGTGGTGTATACTTGTTTCCCACATTTTCTGGGGAAGCAGCGAAAAATGTATACACCAGCATCCCGTATACACCAGGATCCGCTTTCCTGTGCAAGCTTCAGTGCGGGGCCGGAAAAAGCGTCGGTGTATAGATCTGCGCGAACGAGATGGGCACGGAAAGAATGGGCACAATGCTCAACAACGGTTCCTGTTCATTTTGAACAGGACTCGCTGTCCGGGCCACCGCGGCCTGTGTCCATTCGAGACAGGAGGCCGCCCGCCCAACAGCGGCCGCTGTTGGTTTGGGACAAGATTTGTTGTTGGGCATTGTACCCGTCTTTTCCGTACCCATTTCTCGGGCGTCCAAAATCGAGTTCGGTCCTTTATATCACTATGTAATACACTCGGTCCAACCGACGTCGCGTCGACACCAGAAAAAAGACCATGGCTGCTGATCGTCTCGTTATGCTCCTCCCGTGGGCTTCCCGGCAGACGCGCGAAGCAGGCAGGTGACCTGGAACACTCTTCGAGGTCCCCGGCGGTAGCCAGGCTGACAGCTCATCGCCGGCGTCCAGGCGGCGTTCCGCGGTTCAGTGCAGATTGTCAAATGTCAGGAGGGAGACAAACACACAGACACATGTGATCGTCGGTCCCCAGGAAAACATGGGAGAATATGGGAAGTGGGGGGGGGAGACAAAAAACCCAGAACATATGGGTAAATATTGGGAATCCTGTTATTTGTGTGTGTATCTATTTGTGTGTCCTAGGGCCCCTTCAAAATGGTTGCAACCGCAGGGTGGGCTTGGCTGGCCGCGAGCGTTCGAGAATGCCTCCTTCCCAAATTGGGCAGCAGGTGGTTTCGGCGTTGGCTGTAGCGCAGCGTCAGGCGTGGTGTCAAGCGTTGCGGCCTCGGTGACAGGTTCGGTGCCAGACACGGCTTCAGAGACTACAGTAGAAGTTCCGTAGCCGATTTGGCGTCGGAGGATGCGTGGTGCCAGGCGGCAGTGGCTCTGAGCTTGGCCTCAGACCTACCGCCGGGATTGCAGCCAGGTGCACCGTCGGATGTGGCATCGGACATGGCGTCCGATGCGGTGCCGGGCCAGCGTCAAAGTGGGCGTGGAGGTCGTGCACACGTAGTCCCGCAGCAGTAGCCTGGCAGAGGCGCGGTGGAGGCAGGAGGGAGCACGGGGGAAGAGGATGTCGGAGAGGAGAGGTGTGGAGTACTGGCGACGCCAGAACTGATCGAAGAGGCAGTGCCGATATCAAATGTGACCGGCAACCTCCACGACTCAGAGCTCCCTCCTGAATGCCCAGACGCATTCAGGAAGGTCAACACGTAGGACAGGCCAGAGGGCTTGGGGACGTCGGAGAGGATATTGAGGTGGAATACGTAGGGGAGGCAGAACAGCTCTGCAGCAGCAGCGGCGAGTAGACGCGGAATCCCGGCGATGCCGCGTGCGATCGAGCGGGAGTGGTTAGTACAGTTGAAGGAATTGGAGATCAAGTTTCTATGAAGTTGTAGCGGTGTATGTGCTACCGCTAAGATGTGCAGGAGAGAATCGGAAGCTGAATCGGAATCCGAACAGTTGCGAAGCAACGCCAACGTCCAACAACACAACATTTCCCTTTTCAGAATTTCACGAGCGCCGAGACGACCTAGAAGCCAAAGCAGATAAGAGGCTGGCTCACAAACGATAACTAGACTGTCACGAAACGGCAGAGAGTCCTCACCCTATTGCACGAATCATGCAATCACATCAGCAATGGCGACTGTGTTCCTCAGCTCCTCCCGCCTGCAAAGCCAGGACAGCAACGTGAGCACTGATGATGCACCCGTTGACTGTTTCTGGAATGTGTTCCAAAGCGGCCCGCGGAACCACCAACAGCAGAATGAGGTGAACATGGATGGAAAAGCCGATGATTGCAAGGGACCGCATTCGCGCACCTTTGGATTGAAAGAATTGACATGTTGCATTGTGCACAACTCTGGGGAAACAACATCATGGTCCACCTTTCCCGCACGTGCTGATCCAAGCACTGTAGACGAGATCGGTCGGCGCACTCCTCGCATCGCCACCTCGCACAGCAGTGGCCCCACCCGCTGCATCTGCCTGTCATCCTTGCACGCGCCAGGCGTTGTAGCCAAATCACTGGCGCGATGCCCAACGCGGCACTGTAGGTGCTGACGTGCCGAGATGCCCCGCCGCTCAGCCAAGTCGCCGGCCCTTGAAACCATCGCATTGTCAGTGCAACTGTGGGTCTGCTGGGAAGCTGTCTCTCCCGAAGGATGCTGGGATGCCCAGACCGTAAGGATACATCGATCGAGTACGTCCCGAGAAGGGGGGGTGTCAGGGGATGAAGGGTGGAGGGGGAGGACACGTGTGAGAAGCTGGTCTGTTCTTATGTTTTGCTATTGCTTTGCTAATGTTTTGGTAACGTTATGCTTTTGCTATGCTCGTGCTATGCTTGTGATATGCTATGCTGCTCCGTGGCCTGCTCCGGTGCAATGAAAAGACACATTTCGATGCCAGGCTATACTGAGCTGTGTCGCGCTATGCCGTGCTGTACTAAGCTCTGCGATGATACGGCATGCTGCGTTATGCGTTGCTATGCTGTCCCATGCTATGCGATGCAATGCTAGCGAGGGCCGTGACGCATGTTACCCTGCGCGTTCTTACAGTTGGCGGGCGATCCTCGCCCAATGTCCTCGCGTCTTGGCTCGGCACTGCGTTTATTCAGGGTTATTGCTTCTGCTTCCCCCCCCTCCTCCTCCTCCTGCTCCTCCTCCTCCTCCTCCTCCTCCTCCTCCTCCTCCTCCTCCTCCCTGTCGTTTTCCTTTCTCCTCTCCTTTCCTCTCGCCCCTGGCGTGATAGACCTGGGACTGTTTTCTAGTTTATCGGACGATCTGGCGTGACTTGCAGGGGTGCAGGCGCATCCTGGGGGGGCCGCCCGCTTCTGTGTTCCTTCTCTTCCTCTCCTCCTCCTCCTCTTTCGCTGGTCTTGGGCACGCTCGACCTCCTCTTTCGTTGCTCTTTTTTGTTTTTTGCTTGTTGCTAGGGTTTTCAGCAAGCGATGCGTGCAATAGTCTCTTTGGGGCAACCACGCTGCCCACTCCGTCCTCGTCGTCACGCCTTCTCAGCTGCACGTGGCAACCTCGCTGCAACAGACAAGCTGACAGGGGTTCAATCGTGTTCTATCGAGTTGCGTTCTCGTGGAACAGAAAGTCTTACCCTGAGCGTCGCCATCAACACAGGGGGCCACGTATTACCTTGGGCTTGTCTTCAACATACAGCGTGACACCACTCATCATAACACGTCCATCTTCTGCAATGAGGTACGCCGCCTCTCACTGCAGTTCATTGATTATGTGCGCCCTCGTGGAAAGCAGTGCCCCCCTTAGGGTCGCGTCGGGTTCATTCCGTTGTCTTCAATTGCCCATTCATCGCCAATCGGGGCCAGGAGTTTCCACCCTTCCAAGGAACCTGAGGTTTCGCTTTCGGGGGCCTATCGCCAATCTATCGGCGACGTACCGCTGATTCCAGGTCGATGTTCCCCACCACCCAACCCCACCCTGAGGCAGTAACCCCTTCCCCCCCCACACCCCTCACGCAGGAAGCCGAGGCCATGAAGGCGAAGGTGGACGAGCTGATCGACGGCATGCGGCTCGCCGTCGAGACCCGCGACGTCCAGCGGATAGACGGCGCCATCGAGAGAGCCAGGGCCGAAGGACAGCGCGCCTTCGGGAGACAACTTTCTCGTCGCCGTCGTCGCCGTCGACGTCGTCGTCGTCGTCGCCGTCGCCGTCGCCGTCGTCATCGCCGTCGTTGTCGTCCGTCCCCTCGTCCATTTCAATTCCATCATCGCGTTCTAGTTCGAGGGCAAATTCACTGTCTTGACATTCGCGACGCGCGCTCTGGCACAGAAGCATGCAGTTGCAGTGTTCATAACTACGAGACACCTGTGCAGACGAGATCAGCTATCAAGGCCTGCTGGCTAAATAATCTCGAATGGGCGAGGGGGGACGAGACCTCCAGGCAGTTCCTCGCGCTGGGGGGCTTCAACGTCAGCGGCCCCGCGGAGACAGGCACGCCTCTCAAGTGACGGGCGCGCCTCCCCGTCCGAACCTCTCTGGCGGGACCTCTTCCAGCGTGGCATGTTGGAGGTGGAACAGACGCTTAGTACTATCGACCGCATCTTCTCACCCCCTGGCACCCACCTCCTGACCGACTGCGAGGTTCCAGGTGACGTCGTCCAGGAAGCCCAAGCCTGTCGGATTGGGGCCTGTCTGACTATGTTCTTCTCGTTCTGCCGCTCTCCCCTCGGAGAGCCATTGGCAGCTCTCGGCGCGGCATTCCATCGCTCATGCTTCGCCACCCTCGGTTTCACGCGCTGGTGCAAATGTGTGCTGATGCTGCCAAGCTGGACCCAGTCAACACAAACTCGAAGTGGCTAAGGATGACGCAGCTCATGGCTATGGCGGCTGAACTCAGTCGCGACGAGCTCCAGAGGGGCCTCTTCCCCAATGAAAGTCATGGCGTGGCCGAAGCTCAATCCATCAGTCTAACTACGTGCCATTGCTCGTGCAGTTTGGTGTCAAGACCGGCACCTTTTCTCTGAGATGCCAATCCGCCACTTAGCTGGGCGTGAACCACTTGGGCATTGGGCATCACGGACTGCGGCACTGCGTACATTGCCAGCAGCTCCGCCTTTCGGCAGGCCGCCCGCAGCGCCAAACACAAGCGCTTCGAGGGGGTCGCTCGTAAAGGCTGCCCGCGCGGTCGGCCGCCGCTCGCAGACTGCTCAAGGCGATGGCTCTCCTGCTGGCGCCCCTGAGCATGCACAGCTGCAGGAGACCTCCACGCGGCAAGCTCTCGCGCGGAGGCCGACACGTCGCAGTCCCGTTCTCTGTGGATTGCGCCACGGCCACCTTGGACATGACGACATGACACCATCGTGTGGGGCCCTAACTCCATGGCTAACGCTATCGAGCAGCATTGGGAGCATTTGTTGTAACTGTTCATGCTTCCGTTTTGTATTGCTTTCTTGTTGTGAGATGTTCATTTATTTTTTGTTGAGTTGTTGTCGTTTTATTATTATTTTGTCTCCGAGGCCTTTTGCTCTGAGGACGCCATCGCTGAAAACCTCGACCGGCACCTCCCCCTCAGGTCCCTGTGTCTGATCCCCCCCTTCCCAGCCCCAGCGGTTCTTGCGAGATCTCTGAAGCACGGGCGGGCCTCCCCCCCCGGACCCCGACCACCTGCCGTGCGGGGCGTGGACGGCCGTTCCCGCAGCTCCCGATGCTCTGTACGGCGGGGGCATTGGTTCAGGAATGTGCCCAGGAAGATCAGAACTTGGAGGATTCCTTCTCGGGTTAGGGCGGCGACGACACCCATGGCCAAGCCTCGAGTGGAGTTCCGCTGGCCTCCGGGCCCTGGATTCCGTATCCAATGCTTCCTTCTCCATTGCCGTCACCGTATGAGGTGTCGGTCCGATGGTGTTCAGGGGCGGAGCCCACCGACGGGCCTGATTGCTCCAACTTCGCTGTCATGCCACAATGAGCAGGTTCTGGTGGTTTCACTGATTGAGGGAGGGCTGCTGGCACGCTTCGCCTGCTGAATGTTTGAAAGAATGCGCTAGCAGCAAAGCGCTTGCTCAGCTGTGAACCGTCACCTCAGCAAAGCAGCTAAGCGTCACGCTCATGACATTCAGCAAGGGTTGGTCTCCGACCGTACTTTCGGGACCTACATCCTGAACTTTGATGTCGAAGCCCGTGCTTCGTTCCCTTCGACATCCGAGCCGCCTTCCCCAGCATGTCGCAGCAATGGCTCAGGGCTGCCTTGCAACGTTATAGGATCCCTCTGGGTTACCTCAGCGCCATTGGCGCACTCGCTGTCGGTCCGGTCGGCTTTCCCATGGTGGGGACGGAGCGTTCTCGTTGTTTCTTAACCCTTCGCAGCAGGATGGACCTCAAAAAGATATGAACCTGGGTTATAACGTCCAGGGTTCATAATGTCTCGCCCAGAACATTACGAACCTGGGTGTCAATGTTCTGGGAAAATTGACTGGGGTTCATAATGTTCCCCCCGGAACATTACAAACCCTGGTTTACAACGTTCTGGGGATATCGACTCCGGAAACATATTAACTTGGGTCCTTAATGTTCTGGGAATATTGACTGGGGTTTCTAATGTCCCAGGAATAATGAACCCGGTTTTCGTCATTCCGGAATGATAGTAACTGTCATTTTCCCCCCACCCCCCGGGTTCCCCACCAGTTTTTTCATGTCGCAATATGGACCCTGGTTTATTATCTCCAGGAGATAATAAACCCGGATTCGTAAGTTTTCCGGAATATTGACCCCGGGTTAATTATTCTGGAATGATAATGATTGTTTGGACGCCCGAAGTGGGTACGGAAAGAAAGGGTACAATGCCCAACGGCAGTTCCTGTTCATTTTGAACAGGACTCGCTGTCCGCGCCGCCGCGGCCTGTGTCCAATTGAGACAGAAGGCCGCCTGCCCAACAGCGGCCGCTGTTGGTTTGGGACAACATTTGTTGTTGGGCATTGTACCCATTCTTTCGGTACCCATTTCGGGTGTCCAAAGATTGAGCCTGGGGGCGGCCGTTTGAGAGTACGTTCCGGACTGAAATAAGCCTTGGTCCACATTGTTGGAATTTTAAACGTAGGTTGATCATTCCGGAAAGATACTGATTCGGCCGGGGGGGGGCTGAGCCCGATCATAATCCACAGGGTATCATCTCACGATAATGAAACTAGGTTTTCATTTCTAGATAATAAGCCACGGTCGACGAGGATTTCACACCTACCTTCCCTCGCGGGGTCCGTCAAGATTGCCCCCTCCATTGCACCCTGTGGGCCCTTGGGATGGATCCGACATGCCGCCACATCGCCTCAGCCTTCCTAGCAGTGCCCGAGAGTCGCGAGCCTCACCTGGAGGTTCCCATGCGGCGTGGGTTGAAGCCGTTGTCCCCGCTCCTCCTCCCGTCCTCGCTGCTGGCGCGAGTGCCGACGACGTTGGTGTATCCCTGCTTGCTCTCGACATCCTTCCTCTTGTGATCCCGCCCTGTCAAGCCGCCGCCTCTCAGCTTGCAGCGCTCGGTTTTCAGCCGAAGAGTTGCTGCCTAGTTCCACGCTGCTCAGATCCAAGGTTCGTTCTCTCTTTCCCAAATCGGGCGATGTTGTGATCTCCAGCTATTGTGGGCACCTTTGGGTCCAGTTCGTCCCTGGGGCACCCCGCACACACTAGTTTCAAAGTGGAGGCGAGACGTGGTGGCTTCCGTGCAGGATGATTGCTGCCACCCGATCGCCCACCCCTCTGTTCGTCTCTACCGCATGTCCAGTTTGTCCTGCGTGTCCTACATCTATTGATTTCGCCCGGTTTGCAGGTCCGAAGCGGCCGAGAGCTTAAGAAGCAAGCGTCATCCGTCACTTGGAACTGCCAAATGAAGGCGCCATGGTCTTTGGCACAGTCTTCTTTTAGTTGCTCGACCGCGCCGCTTCGGAACAACCCAGAGGACGGCAGCAGGCTTCTGTAGGGGGGGGCGCATTGAGCGAAACGTGATTGGCGTTTCTGAGGCGGTTGCTATCGCGCAGTGGTGTCCTTCATCACTGTTCCCAGCCATCCTGTGGTTTTGGGTCCTCGTTTTGAAGAGACGGCCCCCGCGTCCCTCATTCCTCCCTCCCCCCCTTTCCTCCCTCCTCTCAAGCCATTCTGGCTCAGGCGCTTGATTTTGTAGCGGACCTGAGACAGATCCCCGCGCCTTCACGTTGCGGCTTGATGGGGTGCGTGATCACCTAACGCCCTTTGTTCGTAGATGCGCGCAGCGAAGCAGGGTGATTCCAGATGATGGCGGGTGGTCGCACAGGGGCCAGGCTCTGGACGGCATGCAAGGCATGTGCGACATCGGAGTGGAAGGACCTCCTCGAGAGCCGAGGAAGCAAGTGTAGTCGATGCCCCCGTTTCGTCAAATTGTCTACCCCGAAGAAGCAAGGTAGCGGTTATGTGCAGGACAACGGAGCCAACACCCTCCAGTACGCCGCGGGCGGAGGAGGTAAGGCGGCTGGCAAAAGGAGCGAGCAAGGGCGGCAACGGCAAGTCATCCAACGCGGTGTCGGCCGAGGCGTCCGTCGAGGTCCGCGACATGTTGATGCGGATGCTGTCCAAGACGAACGATGCCGTAGTCAAGAAAGGCTTCTTGGAGCAGCTGGAAGCGCTGACGGAAGGCACGGCTTCCCCGCCTCCGAGTGCCACGGGTGCGGTGAAGAAGCCAGAGGGCATTTGGAAAGATGTCAACATGCGGCACGACCAGGCGATCAACGACGTGCTGCGCTTGAGGGACCAGCTGAGCAAGGCCGAGGATAAGGAGAGGGAGCTCGCGAAGGAGCTCGCGCCAGCCGATATGGGCAGGCGTCTCGCGGCCAACGCATTGGCAGTTGAGACGGGCGTGGTGGCGGACGCAGGCAAGGCAGAGGCGACGCCCACCCCAGCCAATCCACAGGGCTGGACAGTTCAGTGGGACGTGGAGTTCTTCGCGACGCTAGATGAGTACGAGTGCGAGCAGCACGAGAAGGAGCAGCTTTTGGCCCTGGAGCGGGATCTCAAAGAAGCTCGAGAGAAGCTGCCGGATCGAGGTGCTAAGGTGAACGAGTGGCGCAGCAAGTACGAGGAGATGCAGAAGGCCATCACAGAGCGCTTCTCCAAGAAG